GGTGGGCAGCTTATCCGCTCTTTTGAGCACAAAGAAATTATTATGCAGTCAAGACTGTTCACTTTATTCTCAAGTCTAAAGTCGTTGCCATCGTAGTTACTGCTGCTAAATGTGCTGGATGAATAAAAGCGGATACGGAGGAGATCGGCGAACTAGCAAAGAAAATAACACCTTCGGATAAAAATCCGTTTTTGGGAGGTGTTTCCGCACTTCAAATTTCCATGTTACAAGACAAACTGTGGACAAGGGTGTTAGATCAGTGTCTGCCTGCCTGCTAATGTAAACATCGTTAAAGGTCAATGAGAAAGAAACTTTAAAGAACAAATACAAACGAACTGTGACAGAACTATGACTAATTTATCCTCATTTTTGGCAAGCAGATTTTTTGTACTATGCCGCCGAAGATGGAAAATGTCCTACTTCTACTATTTTGTAAGGAATTCAAAGATAGGACTTTTGGGACCTAGCGGAAATACCTGTTACCGACACGGAAATAATAACGGTTTCGGCTGAACACCGAAATAGTAGGTGACTTGCTTTATGCATAAAAGATTTAGTTCAACACAGGCTGCTAAGATGTTTTTGCTCTGTTCACGTTAAACAACAGTTTGCAAGATCGACGTAAAGGCGACATTACAGGCACGGCCAGCTTTCGGTAGTACTTCTTCCTTACATTGGGCATCCGCAAGACGGTCTGACGAATCGAATATAAAGTCAGTTTGGTCCTCGTGAGTTACTCCGATCAGGCCTGTACTGAGAACCCATTTTGTAAAATCGCATACTTACCGTTACGGAATGTTTGGAAAGGTACAGTAGGTGGGCTATCTTATAGAATGTTGATTGAAATTCTGAAGAAAGTGTTTCTGATTGGAACGAATTTCACAGGTGGGGGTGTAATTTTTGTAGTTATTATACAGCATAATTGCAAGATATTTCAGTTACGCCAGCATATGCGCTTTCGAGTGGGCTTCCTTCTGGCCGTCTGCGTAAACCACACTGGTAACAAAGTACAACTTAAGTAGTAAAATCCCCCCCCCCTATAAATTTAAGCGTATTTTGTTAAAAAATATCTTCTCTTGTACTAATTTAATGAGGAATTACGTCTTCTTCGAATTTTATACATGGAAAAGTGCACCTTTCGGTTTTCAAAAAGTCTGTCAGTTCCCGATTAAATTTCAACCCAAGCTGTAACTGCACTAGCGCTTAGGGGGTACAAACCTCCCTACTGTATGCTCTCCGTGTGGAGAAAATTTTGTATGTTCTTATGCTATACATAATGTCATATAGGGCTCCTGACACTGTGCAGTGGATGTAGACCGTGTTGTATGCTTAAATAGGAGCATTAATAAACTTACGGATGTGATGCTGTATGAAGGGAAAGTTCACCGTCTTACAAATTTCATAAACTTACAAAACAGGTGGATAGGCTTGCATCGAGCATAAAATTCGACAGAGGCTGCCGAATTTAATTGGGTCAATTTAATTATTCAAGCCTGCCAACCCCCTCCTAATAATTATTAGGACTGGTGACTGGTAGTCATCTGGTGGATTCTAGATTGATAACTTAGGAGATCCTGCTTGGGGGCAGTCAGCTTACGCTATCAGTGTA